GAGAGCAAGAGAGACCGTGAGTAGCTGGGGGAGAGGGGAAAGGAGGCTTCCCGCTGAGCAGGGAGCCTGACATGAGGCTTGATTTCAGGACCCTGGGATCATGACCGGAGCCACAGGCAGATGCTTAACCAACTGAGCCACCCAGGCCCCTGCCTTTCTTTGTTTTATTTAACAGAGAACATGTTTTTGTTTACTAGATGCAATATTTCTTACCTTTCTGAAATGTTAAGATAGTTTTTTTCTTCCTGAATAGTTTGTTTCCCTCAGGTATACTTTTCTCTTGTCTTAGTCTTTAATGTCATGTTAAAGGCTTTTCTCAGATGGCTTACAATAAAAAATAGGGGACTTAAAAAGCCTTTAGGAGCGTAGCTCAGCGGTTGAGCATCTGCCTTCAGCTCAGGACGTGATCCCAGGTCTGGGGATCGAATTCCTCATCAGGCTCCCTATTAGGAGCCTGCTTTTCTCCCTCTGCCTATGTCTCTGCCCCCCTCTCTCTCTGTCTCTCATGAATAAATAAAATCTTTTAAAAAAAAAGCCATTAGGAGCTTGTATGTAGGTGACGCTTCCATGAACTCTGGGCCTCACTGTAGGGTGATTCAGGTGGAGCCCCCTGTGCTTCTATATTTCGTCTTTCCTCACAGTCTGGTCAGATCCCCAGAGAAGTGGGCTCCAGAAGTCTGTCTAGAGCTGTGCTATTCAGTCCAGTAGCCACTCCCCACACGGAATGAACAGTTTCCTCTGAATTAGCCACATTTCAAGTGCACAATAGCCACATAGAGCATGGCTGTCATTTTGGACAGCACGACTACTGGACATTTCCATCACTGCAGGAAGTTGTATTGCAGGGCACTGGACTAGGATGATAATCTTGTTCCCAGCCACCTGAAAGCCCAATGAGAGAAGATTGGGTGTCAGGTTCAGAATTCTCTGAATGTACAGTTACTGAATCCCACTGTGTGTCTCCCAGTCCAGAAGCCTGGTTTTACTTTCTTCAGAGAAGACAAGGCTTACTAAACAATATGCCTGACTCTTTGCTACTTTTATTACTTATTCTTTGCTTTTTCCTTTAAGTCTTTCTGGTACCAGTTCCAAACTCTCCACTGCGTTTTCTGGGAGTGCCCCTGGTTAGAGGTTCTTTATCTCACCTCTGTCAGTAAACAGCATTGGGGAACCAAGTCCCTTATTTTTTTCCCTTGTAATACCACTGATATTACTGATACCTTAATTTTGAGGCTCTTGTTTGGATTAGATGAAAATGTTTGTAAAGTGCCTATTTTAAGACACATCTGACATTATCAAAGTAGAGTGTAAAGGTCGTTTTAAAACCTCAAATTTACAAATCCACTATGCATCTGACTTACCTCACCAAGTGCTTATGAGGTAAGTGAAAACAGAATAGAAGACCATTGAGATTAGGGACCTGGACAGTTGACTAGATATTATTACTACCTAACTGATTTGTTTTTTTAACACCCAACCTTGGAGTAGTGAAATTTTGAGTTTCAGCAAAATTTTGCATTAGTTACATGTTAAAGATATTTTTAGCTGCTGATTCGTACTTGAATCTGTAGATGTTGAACATGTAACTAAGCCTTCTGTAAAGTGCCTGGCAAATATTAGGTGTTCAAAAAGTAGGCGTTGGAGAGTTTTCCCCAGCCTCCTCATATGTAAGCATCCAGGTTAAGTGATGTGGTTATGATCATCAGGTTTTTGGCTTATGGAACTAGATCAGATGCTCTTGGCTCAAAGACCGCTCTGATACCAGCATCTGTCAGTGCTAGGATTTTTGCCAACAAGTTCTGTGTACTGTCAGTTTTAAAGGGAAGAGGAGCTCTTTGCTCTTAAGGTTTCTTTCTTTCTTTTTCTTTTTTTCAAAACCAATCTATTTACTCATTGCATTGATGCTTATATGCACCATTATAATTTATCCCCAAATATGAGAATAGGCATTAGGTTTTTTCTTGGTGACCTGCCAAAGGTGATATTCTTGGCTGTCCTGGCCTGGGGTGTGCACTTTGTCCCTAGGACCTGTGCTCTTGTGATTTCTTGTAGCTCCCCAGTGTGTTCATTATACCTCATTAATGTCTAATGAGTTATGATTTCCTGCTTATTAAGCAGCCCTGTTTCAGATTTCTGTGACTCTGTATGTTTTGTTTCACTACCTGGAATAATCTGTCCCTCCCCCAACCTCACATTCTCTGAGTCTAATGCCTTCTTTAATCCCTTTTCGCAGAGTTCATCCTGCCTTACTTTGTTTATTATTATTATTATTATTATTTGTTTATTATTATTATTTTAAATTTATTTATCCGAGAGAGAGAGAGAGAGAGAGAGAGAGAGAGAGAGAGAGGCAGAAACACAGGCAGAGGGAGAAGCAGGCTCCATACAGGGAGCCTGATGTGGGACTCGATCCAGAGTCTCCAGGATCACACGACCCTGGGGTGAAGATGGCGCTAAACCGCTTAGCCACCCAGGCTGCCCTGCCTTACTTTGATCTATCCTTAACACACACTGCATGCTCTATTATACCTTCTATTGTAGCATGCATCACTTTGAATTGCAATTATTTCTTCATATACCTATTTAACTATGAGATCAATGGTAGTTAATGGTTCAATTATTTAGGTGATTAAGTAAGGACATTTTATGAAGGAAAAGAGGTGTCCTTCCTGAGCAAGAAACTGGAGGTATCTGATCTATGGATTTGTTTACCCATTTCCCCTTTACCCCCCCCATTTGCATTGCCTCCAGTTTTTGGCAGTTATGAATACTGTAAATGATTGTGTACAGGTTTTTTGTGTTGTCATAAGTTTTCATTTGTCCTGGATATTCAGTTGTAGGATTGCTGGGTTCTATGGTGAGCATACAAAGTACTTTGCATTGCCACCAGCAGGGTGTGTGAGTTCTTACTGTTCTGCTTCCTCATCAGGTTTTTTGTCTTTTTTCAATTTTAGCTATTCTAAAGAAGTATATGTAGCTATCATAATTGTTAACCAGGTTTGTCTGTGAAACCCATGAGACAGAATGGAAGTTAGATTAAATACAGGGAGGAGTTCCTGAGGGGGTGATAGAGAGGCCATGAGATTTGGTATGTCTGTCATACTTACCGTGATGTCCCCAAGTGACTAGCATAGGGCCCTGCACATAGTAGGAATCTTTTTGTGTGTTTATTAAATCACTGGACAAAGGTTGAAAGGTTAGAAAAAAGGCAGGGGCTGGGTATAAAAATAATTTTAGATTGGACCTGGCCCGAGTAGCCCCAGTGTTGTCATGGAACACATCCTTTTATATGTGAGTCTATGTTTACAAACATGTTTAGAAGCTGACTCAGGTCTCTGATTTCCAGCCTCTCAGTGGGTGGGAGGTGGCATAATATTGTGGAAGAATAGGAGGGCAGAAAATACTTAGTGCTACCAACTGGTTATGGGGACTTAGGAAAGTAAGCCATGATAACTCTTCTGGTTCTCAGCTTCACCACTGTAAAATGAAAAGATTTTATTAGATGAAATCAATATTTGAAAGAAAAAATATACATAGTTAAAGAAGCTTAATCACATGAAATGAGAAATAGTTTAATTGAAGAAAAAGTGTGCCTGAGGATGGATTTGGACAGATACAGTGTGAAGCCCAGCTCTTCGGGGAGGTTAGGGGTAAGTGTCTAAGTGGAGCTAGCTAACGGCTAATTGGTAGAAGCAAACAGAGCAAAAGAGGTCCTTATGGGGTTTTAGGTAGAGGAGCAGCATTGCTGAGTGTCTTTTTCCTGTTTAAAAAAAGCTTTCATGTAAAGACTGGAGAGAAGATGCCTTTCATGTCTTCTTTCAGTGCAGAGGAGAGCCGAGCCTGGGCCTCAGAAAGCAAGGCTGAAGGTATGGAGCACCAACCAGCTTTCTGGGCCATGGGTGAACCCCACATTCAGCCATTGCTCTTCGGTGGTTTTTCTCTCCACCCTCACTTAGAAGTTCAGATCTAGAGTTTAGCAAAAAAACCAATTCTCAGGTATTCAGTTTTTTTGTGCTTGGAAGGATTTTGTACATACAGTCAAGTGTTGTTAGAGAATTAAAAACATACCCAGATAAATTTGAGTCTGTGTTAAAGGATTTGACCTGTTTTATTGTTTGACTGACATTTATTAAAGCACTTTGACATTTGAAATTTTATTTCTGTTTCCTGTTCTGAATATTTAAGAAGAATCACAGGTCTAGATCCCTGGAATACCTTTTGTAATATAAGAATTTTAAATCCATTATTTTCATAGTTTTAATGATTCTCACAGTTTTATTCTGAGGCAAACCGTATTTTTGCTCTAATGTAGTTTAGGTTATAAAATCAAATGTTTGATTATTCATTTTAAACCATGTTTCCAACAGTTTATTTTAAAATGTCAGTGTTAAGTGATTCTGGTTATGAGGACCCTGAAAGTAATCTTTAGGCAAATAGTTCAGAAAAGTGAGGAGTCTGACTTCTATTTAATCTTACAGCTCATAAAGAAGAAGCCAGTTTAAGACCAGTTGCTCAATGATATTACTTTCAGGTTCTAATGTGAAGAATTAACATTTCTAGGTTTTTATAAAAATTTAGTGCAATGTATAAAATTGCCCACACTTGTAGGCACAGTTACCCTTAGTAAGCTGTTCTATAATTTTTGGTCCATTAAATCTACTTTTTATAGTAGAATATAAAAAAAACTCTAGAATATTTTAAGGTTTTGTATTGGGTAACTTCTACAGGTTTATGTTAATACTAATAACCAGATAAAAAAATCAAAGACTTCTTAAACAAGACAGCTTTTTTTGTTCAAACTTTGAGAGTATCAATTTCTAATGTACTGGAAGTTTGTTAGACCTGTAGGACATGTAAGAGGGTCACCTTTATGGTATTCAAGCTTTTATGTTCTTTATCAGCCCTTTTCTGCAGCCCTTGCTGAAAATTATTTTATGCATTCTCAATTTGGACAGTTATATGTATAGTAACAAAATATATTCTTCTTTTTTATCTTTCAGAATCATGGTGTCATGGAAGGGGATTTATTTTATACTTACTCTGTTTTGGGGAAGCTTTTTTGGAAGCATTTTCATGTTGGGTCCCTTTTTACCTTTGATGTTTGTAAGCCCATCTTGGTATCGCTGGATCAACAACCGCCTTGTGGCAACCTGGCTCACACTACCTGCGGTAAGTCACACACCAGATAGGGAGACTGAACCAAAGTGGCCCAGCTCACCAATTTTTACTTTGTTAGAGTCATATTCAGTCAAATGTTAGAAGAAACATATAAATACTTTCTGGATCCTTTCTAGAGGAAATACAGGAACTAGGGAGAATTAAATATAATTCATGTCCTTGAAATAAAAAATCTAAGAGCCATATTTCAAAATTAAGAGTTTCTTTTATATTCCTCTTGAAGTTTATTTTCCTTCATCGAGGTATACTTTACATATAGCAAAATACACAAATCTAAAGCTATAGATTGAAGAATTTTTATTTTGTATTTCCATCTATTTTACAAAATAATGACAGAAATTAAAATTCAGATAAACAATTTTTTGAACTTTTGACATTGATGTGATTGATTTAATTCTTCCGAGTAACCACAGATTTTAGGAATAAAGTGGTTTCCTATCTGTGGCCCAGAATGACAACATCTGTACCATAATAGTACATAAATAACGTGTAGTTGATTCTTGGAACAGACATGTATTCTCTGCAAGGTCAGTGCATACAGCTCTGAGAACGTCTCTCTGATTCTGAGCTATAGGATTCCAGTCCAGATTCCTCCCTTGTCTGGACCAAAGCAGCTGTGGCCCTTCCCTTTTGCTGCTAATCAGTAGTGCCTTCTCCAAAAATGGAGTGACACCCTGTAGCTGCTTTTATAATAGGTTATACTTCCTGAGGACCGTTTTGTTTTTGATGTTTCTGAGCAACAGCTAGAACTTATTGTTTGTTACTGGGTTTATGGAGCAGTCATGGTGGGGGTGATAAGGATACACCTGAACAGGAAAACAAGGAGGAATTCTTCCGCCTTCAGTTGCTGAAGGATCTTTTTTTCACCTGTGCCTTTTGAACTGCATTGCCATTTCCCCTCAGGCTGACTGCCCTTCATACATATACAGAGAGGAAAGTTCACTAATGCTAAGGACTCCCCAGGTGGAGATTGATGGGGAGCTGTTGACCCTTTTCATATTTTAAAAAAGGATTTTCATGGAGAATAATTTTAAGAATTGCATTTGTCCTTTGTCAAAGGTTAATTTCTTGAAAAATTAGATGTGTTTTATGAAATGTGATATCATTAAACTGAAATGTGATATCATTAATTCCCTATCTCTCTGTCCTTCCCTCTCCTCTTCCCCCTTTCTCTTCTGTTGCACTTGATCAACAAGCACAAAGAAAGGGACTATAGCATACTGGTAGATGATAAATAACCGGTTTGGTTGTATATTTAATCCAGATTAAGGAGAAGAATTACAAGATTTTGTTAAAAGGGTAATGGTGGTCATAGCTGTTAAGCACTTATGTGGCAGATAATGTGCTAATAAGTGCTTTAGGATGCCTTCATTCCAGGCACCACCATTATCCCCCTTTTACAGAAGTAGAAACTTTGAGAAATTAAATAATTTGCTGAAGGTCACATGCATAAACAGATTATTTAAGCAGAGCTGAGATTAGACCCAGTTTGGTGCTGTTAGAGCCCTGGGTGATAGGAAAACCTTGAAGGATTGGTCAGGGTCACATGACACTTTAACTTCTAGTGGTAAGAAGTTCACTGGTACCTCATGATTGTTTCAAAAGAAGATTTGGAGTTCTTTGAAGCCAGGGAATGCCTTGAGGGAAAAAAACTACTAACAAAATTAGTCTCAGTGGTGTGATGATTCCTCTTAGTGAAAGAGGAAAGTTGATAAGGAACAGTTATACAAAGCCTTCAAGAAGCCAGAGACTGAGGTTGTACCTGGAACAAGGTACATACCAATAAATATTTCTCAAATGAGAAGTTTCATGGTCCTACTAGCTCAATCTTTGGTATCAGAATTATGCTGGCTTCATAAAACAAGTTGTGCAATATTTTCCCCTCCTGTTTTGAAAGAAAACGATGTGTGTGTATGTATGTGCATGTATCTTATATATGTGTGTGTTGTGAACACAATTTAGTCACAACCTACGGATCACGTAATGTATCCTTCATATGTCACAGCCCACTTGAAGTTCGTATTTATCACATTGTGTAAAATATAAGATTTGTAACAGGATAGGGCTTTCATTCTCACATCCTTTGTGCTGCTGTCCTGTTACATACACTTGTACAATAAAATCTAGGATGCAGTGTTACCATTTTTTCCTTTAAATAGTCCTATGTTTTTTAAAGAAACAGAATATGGTCTCTTATATTGATCTAAATATTTTCCATTTATAGTATTCTTTATCTTTCTTGTATATTAGAGTTTCTCTCTAGTGTCATTTCCCTTTAGCCTGAAGAACTTCTTTTAGCTCCTCTTTTACTGAGGGCTCCTGTAGACTAATTGATTTCTTTTAATTGAAAATGTCTTTATTTTGCCTTCATTCTTGAAGAACAGTTTGCTGGCTGTGAAATTTATGGGATGACATTTTTCTTCTTTCCATACTTTAAAGTTTTACTGTCTTGTGGTCTCCTAGCCTATATATTCTTGCAACTCTTTTTCTCTGGCTGCATTCAAGATTTCTTTCTCTGTTCGTTTTTTAAGCAGTTTGATTATGATATGCCTAGGACTAGCTTTCTTTGTTTATTTTACTATGTCTCATTGGGCTTCTTAGATCTGTAGATTTGTTTTTTCCAAGTTGGAACTTTGGGGCTCTTGTTTCCTCACATATTTTGTGTTCCATTCCCTCTCGCCTCTCCTTCTGAGACTGCTGTTGTGGGTGTGGCAGGTTGCTTACATTGCTACACAAGTCTACTAGTTCACTGACCCTCTCTCTCTCATGCTACCTCTATTAAAAATATTGTACTTTCACATTCTAGAATTTATATTGTTTTTTTTTTAAGATTTATTTATTTATTTATTCATGAGAGACACACACACACAGAGGCAGAGACCCAGGCAGAGGGAGAAGCACGCTCCCCGCAGGGAGCCTGATGTGGGACTCAATCCTGGATCCCGGGATCACGCCCTGAGCCAAAGGCAGACTCCCAACCGCTGAGCCACCCAAGCATCCCTATTTTGGGTTCTTTGCTGGTTTCATTAGGTTCTGAGCTTTCTTATCTGTTAAATTCATCATACTTCTTTTTCCCTGTAACTCAGCTGAGTGGAGAATCTAATTTCATTTCTTTGGTCACGGCAGGAAGCAGCAGCCACCTTCCCCATTCTTTTTTTTTTTCCCCCTCCGTAGGAAGGACTTTACATTGAATTTTTGTAATATTCTTAACGTTATCAGTATGGATCCTTCTTATACATTTATGCAAAAGTTCTTTTTCCTTTCATAATAGAAGGAAGGATTTTTTGTAAGTTTTGTTAACTGTTGTTTTATGACAAAAGTAGTCAGTAGGATCTTGGAACATTCATCCAGCAACTATTAAGTGTCCACCATATACCAGGCATATTGCTAGAAGGTAATGATGAACAGGACAGATAGGGCCTCTGGCATCCTGGAAGTATTAGTATTGTACCAAAGCTACCTTGCGTGGTTGTAGATATACATATTTTAACTAGTTTCTGTCCTCCATCTGCTTGAGACATTACCTCCTTTGTAAGAGTACAGAAGGTGACTTCTCAGACCATGAATTTTGTAGAAGTAGATTTTTAAATTAGCTTTAAAGATATGAAGTTCATTGTTTCATTGCAGCCTCAAACAGACCATTTAACATGGAATATTAGTGTGTACTAATTTATTTACAAAATGAGTACTTCTCCATAAAATATCATATTTATATTAAGTGAAATAAATATATAATGCCCAGTTCACATAAGGTTAACTGTCATAAGTAGCTATTTCTTTTTTCTTTTTTTTTAAGATTTTATTTATTCATGAGAGACACAAAGAGGCAGAGACATAAGCAGAGGGAGAAGCAGGCTTCATGCAGGACTCATGTGGGACTCTCTCCCAGGACCCTGGGATCACGACTTGAGCCCAAGGCAGATGCTCAACCATTGAGCCACCCAGGCGTCCCATAAGTAGCTATTTCTTTTTCTTTCTTTCTTTCTTTTTTTTTTTTAAGATTTTATTTATTTATTCATAGACACAGAGGGAGAGAGGCAGAGACACAGGGAGAGGGAGAAGCAGGCTCCATGCAGGGAGCCCGATGTGGGACTCGATCCCGGGTCTCCAGGATCACATCCCAGGCTGCAGGCGGCGCCAAACCGCTGTGCCACCAGGGCTGCCCAAGTAGCTATTTCTAAAAAGCCTTCTTACAAGCCATCTAAATGTTAAGTAATTCCACTTACAGTCATCATAAAACCAGAGACATTTCATTTTGAAAACTTAACTTTTTTCAAGTCAATTATATAACTTTTTAAAGATTTTTATTTCATCATTTGTAAAATAAGGAAATTGGAGTAGATGATATTTTGAGAGCCATTCCAGATTCAGCATTGTATATCTGATTCTGAAGCAGACATTTACAGGTAAGTGATTTTTTTATAATAATGATACATTGTTTTATATTTCATTTAATGTTTTAAATTTTCCAATATATAATCTTTTGACTATGAATTACATTTTTGTCTAAACATCACTACCAAAACCTGAAAAGTTTTGAGAAGTTACTACATGGGTAGGGATCATTGCAATTGCAATGCTTTAGTGTCCAATCAATCTCTTCCTTGGAGAGCCAATATAAGTTAAGTGCTTATTGGTATAGATACATTTGGTTTTATTATTGGCCTTACCACTTTCTAGTTATTGAACTTGGTAGAGCTACTTAACCTTCCTAAACTTCTCTTTTCATTTGAAAAATGAGGGTTCTGAGCCTACCTGTTTATCTCAGTTATTCTGATGACTAAATGAGGTATTGAATATAGGCTTTTTAGAATATACAGTGGCTTGAATAAGATAGAACTTTATTCATCCTCAGGACCATGTTGGCAGGGTAGCTCTGCTCCCTCATGTCATTCAGGGACTCCAGATTCCTTCCAGCCAGCCTGGCATAATACTAGTTGATAGGTCAAGACTGGTCACTACTACTGTTTTGCCCCACTTTGCAGAAAGTGGGTTGGGGAGGAAGCGCAGAGCAAGCGCTTTCCTTTATTTCACTGAATTACAAATAGCACTGGAGGGAATAGCTAAAGGCTGTAATAACATCTGGGAATGTCTGTCCTCTGGGCAGTCATGTACATAACTAAAATCTGTTGCTCTGGAAGAAATGCTGGACCCCACTGGACAAATTCTGCCATAGCTGCTTCTGCTATTCCTATTATTAGTACTATTACTATCACACAGAATTACACCCCACACTATGGTACAAGTCTTTATACAACTCCATTTATATGCACTAGGATGGGGGAAGAGTAGAAAAGATGAGAATACATTTGTTGTTTTTTTATTATTTTTTTATTTTTTATTTTTTTAATATTTTTTAATTTTTATTTATTTATGATAGTCACAGAGAGAGAGAGAGAAAGAGAGAGAGAGAGAGGCAGAGACATAGGCAGAAGGAGAAGCAGGCTCCATGCGCTGGGAGCCCGACGTGGGATTCGATCCTGAGTCTCCAGGATCGTGCCCTGGGCCAAAGGCAGGCGCCAAACCGCTGCGCCACCCAGGGATCCCTGTTGTTTTTTTTAAATCTAGAGTTGCCTCCACACCCCCCCCCCCCAAAAGTAAGAGAAAATGGGAAATGTGAGTGGTGCTATATTAAATACAATTATTGTGTTTAAAACAGCACATAGACTAATCACTTCATTTGATAGTCAGCTGGAAAAAGCTGTTCCAACATTCTTCAGAAGATAGTGTACTGGTCTTCTGTGAGGTACCTTTCTGTGAGATTTTCAAGGTTTAGTTTCAGTTATTCCCGACTTTTGCTTTATTACCTGAGTTCAGAACTTAACACTAGGCAAAATTCAGCTACCCCTGTAGTATTTAGTATGTATTTGAAAAAACTTCTATTACCTGCGTAACTCACTGCCTTGCTTAGTAGTAAGGGTATATCAAGCAGAGTCTTTCAGGTAAGAAATTTATAGAAGTTGAATACCTTATTGCTAGGTTACAAAAAAATTGGTGTTGTAGTTTTGAGATCATAAACATCTCTGTTCAAAGAAATGGAGAAAAACTGTCAGGATGTCTTTTATGACCTTTTATTCCATACTTTTACAATGTGCTAAAGGAGTTTTTATTTTGAAGCAAATAGATATTTTTTTTACTTAGAAGGAATTTAGTCTTTTCTCTGCTATACACGTACTTTATTTTAATCCCAATTAAAAAAAAGTTCACTAATAAAGTAAATGCACTTAAACTATTGCTTCACAGACATAATCATAAAGTGATTTTCTCTTTGTAAGCATCTCTTGTGCATTAAAGTGACTTCACCGGCAAGATTTTTCTTCTCTTACCATTTTTAAGGAACACATTTTGTGTGTTAAATGAAGTCTCATCCAACTCTTTATCTATGTAAGAATTCCTTCCAGAGCAGTCTGCAGAATGACCATTCATTCTTTCTTGGTATATATCTATAGTGGGGAGTGTAGGTCTTTGTTCATTTCGTTTTTGGACAGTTTTATTCAGCATGATCAATACTTTCAAGGTCACACTTTGCATGTGCCCAGAGTACTTTTTTGCTTTTCAAAATTTAAAGTCCTTCCAGCAGTCCAATTGTTAGCTAATAACCTGGGATTATGAAGATTATGAAAACTATTTGGAGTTCTGTCCTTTCACTGTAAGTCATGACTTAGGAATTTAGAGGCCCCCACCTAGGACACCAGTCTATTCCACAGCCTGGTGATTCCAGTCCAATCCTAGAACAAAATGGGTATTCAGCAGATACAGGGTATAATTTTTGCCTAGACTGCTGCTAAGAAAAGGGGTACTGTATTTGACGAATGACTTGGGATTGCAGGGCCTTAAATAGCTAAGGATTTGAGGAGCTGGGCTTATGTTGAGTCAGAAAAGCCCAGGCATACTGGGAGATGGGGAGCACCACAGAGTTGGCTTTACCTCAGACTAAATAAAGATTCATCAGAATGGTAAATGAGAGCTTGGGCATGATGGCAATATTGATTCTCTGTGACCATGAGGGGGAACCTCTCATCTTTGTGTTTTCAGACACAGTGGAACACTTAAGAGATAGTAATTAGTGGTCTATAAAAGATTCTCAGAAATGCTTCTATAAAGCATTTATTAAATTTTATAAGATTAGTTTTTCTTCTATACTAGTTTCTATTCTAGACTAGAAAAAAACAGGATACTATTCTCACATTTTTCTATACGTTTTAAAATTTGAATTCTATAGCTCTTTAGAGACCTTACAACCTTCTCTCTCTGTAGTAAATATTTGTAGTCTACCTTCACAGGAGATGTAAATAACATTGACTTAGATAGGTCTTGTCTGATGTTACAAATGATTAATGTGAGTTTGAGATCTAGGCTGTCCAAAAGGTTATATATAACTTTCAGGCACATTCTGATGGAGTGTTGGATGGCAAGGGAGAGAATGCCATATGATATGCTCCTGGACAAACAGTCTGGATTTATTTTGACATTTGGGATCCACAGGATACATGTATTAGAAATTGCATTTAAAAGGTGAGGGTTGAATTTGGGATTTATAGGCTTTAAGATTTTTAACTCTTTTCTGTGGTACAACACACAATTAGCAGTCAACTTCATCTTTCTTTGAGTTAAGGGAACTTAACTCATCTTGCATTTCAGTTCTTTGTAAAAACTGTAAAGTATCATTTGGAAAGCACAGTGGAGCTGATCCAAATTAATAAGCCATAGATGGTGACTTCACACATGTCCTCTGAGGTATGTAATTCAGTGATTCATTTTGGGAGTTGATGGCACTTTATACTTAGACATTTCCTGCTGCGGGTCCAAGCCTGGAGGACTCTGCCATGATCTTCTCCATCATGAAGTCTTTACATAGAGGCTTGGCTTCCCAAGACTTTGGAATGGAAGTTATAATTATTTGAGTGGTTATGGACTCTTTGAAAATCTGATGAAAACTACAGACATTTAACAAAGTACCTCTGTATACTTTTTCAAGAGGGTCCTGTGTTTATTTACCCTTTGAAGGCTATCCTTCTAGGACTTGACATTAGGTTAAACATCCATGCCCTAAAGTGAATCTCCGCTCTGGGAAAGTCACTTAATGGGATCTGTGGGCTATCTGTTTTATTCTGTTAAGATGTTAACACTATGATTCCATAATTCTTTGGACATAAAACATTTCTAACTTTTCCTTAACTAATCTTCCCTTTAACCTGTTTTTTTCTTGGTCCTGTGTTTATTTTGGAGTCCTTTTGTTCACTTGTGTCATATTCTTTAAAAAAAAAAAAAGAGTTTTTGTGAAATGTAACAAACATATCCAAAGTTAGTAGAACATAAATGCACACTTTAAAATGGTCTATTAAAGTGAAAGTATCAACCAGGTCAAGAACTAGAGTATTATCAGTCCTCCAGCAAGCTACCTTGCTTGCATGTCATAACCATCTCCTCTTTGATAGCAGTAGCCACTAATCTGACCTGTAAGATGGTCGGTCATTCCTTGCTGTTCTTTATAATTTTACTCCTAAAATATCTTAGTTACTGCTTTAAAAACTTTTACATATGACACTCTTTGTTTTGCTTCTCTCAGCATTATGCTTGTATGCCATCTGTGTTGAAGATACATGTAGCTTATTCACTTTAATTGTTGATTCATATTCCATTATATGTTGGTACTACTGTGTATCTGCTATATACTTCTATAAAGGTTTTCATGGTATTACCAGAGGTTTTTTTTTTTTTTAAAGATTTTATTTATTTATTCATGAGAGACCCAGAGAGAGAGAGGCAGAGAGACACAAGCAGAGGGAGAAGCAGGCACCATGCAGGGAGCCCAATGCCAGACTCGATCCTGGGACTCCAGGATCATATACTGGGCCGAAGGCAGGCGCTAAACTGCTGAGCCACCCAGGCGTCCCATGAAGTTTTGACTTTCTTATCTTTTCACTGCCTCAGACCAGTTTTCTCTCCATTAATAAATAGTGAAGTTATATTTTAACTAGTAAATTTGCTACATATAAATTATTTGAAAATTTAAATAAGGGATTGAAATCAATAATCAAGTTTTCTTATTTTCTGTTTTTTCTTCACAAAACTACAGTCTGTAATATACTTTATTTTAAATATTTCATATATATTATATGCCTGCTTATCAGAAAAGTTAATTAAACCAATTCAGCAATTATTTATCTTCTAGGTGCCAGGCACTGTTGTAGGTGCTAGGGCTATAGAACTTTATAAACATACAGTTATTTTATTCTTTATGTATTGTTAAACAGATAGATGTATGTGTTTAAAAAGATCATAATACAGAAAGGTATAAAATGAAAATTTGACTTTGTCCCCTTAGCCCTATACTCCATGTTAAATTTCTGACTAACCTTTCTAGAAAGTAATTATCTTCTATATCTACAGCCTTAAAAAATTACACAGTGGAATCTTCTTGCATGTCTTTTATACCTTTTTCTTTTTAAGTTAATAATATATCGTGAAGATTTTGGTGAAAGCTAGCATTTATTAGGAAACCGTGAGAAACCTAAATGAATAAAATGAAAAATAGAAATAATACCTTTGTATTCTCATTCTTCCAGGCTAATTTCTTTTTTCTAATTTATTATAGACTCAATAATCTTGAGACATTCTGTGCCTTTGACTTACTAGATATCTAATTTATTTACACGATGTGATGAAATTTACCTATGGGAAATCATAACTTTAAATTGTTACATGTCTATATTGCTTATTCCTTAGGCACTGCTGGAGACCATGTTTGGTGTAAAAGTGATTATAACAGGTGATGCGTTTGTTCCTGGGGAAAGAAGTGTCATCATCATGAATCATCGGACAAGAATGGACTGGATGTTCCTGTGGAATTGTCTGATGAGATATAGCTACCTCAGATTGGAGAAAATTTGCCTTAAAGCCAGCCTCAAAAGTGTTCCTGGGTTTGGTACGTTATTCACAAATTATTTTACATTGTTCATTCCTTTAATAACTTGTTAAATGCTACTTAAGTATTAAAGTCATTCCCATTTTTTTCTCACTAGTGTAAAACCATGTATCACAACAGATTAACATCTTTTTAAAAATATTTAATGTTGAGAGAATGAAGGATATGAATTAATAGTTCAGTAACTTTTTAAAAAAGATTTTATTTATTTATTCATGAGAGACACAGAGAAAGAGAGACAAAGACATAGGCAGAGGGAGAAGCAGGCTCCCCTCAGGGAGTCCAATGTGGGACTCGATCCCGGGACTCCAGGATCATGCCCTGTGCCAAAGGCAGATGCTCAACCACTGAGCCACTCAGGCATCCCAGAGGTTTGTACTCTCAAGACAGTCGATTTCTTACATGGCAACTAATTTCCTTTAGAGTAAACATCCCTATAAAACCAGCATGAAACTGCAAGGCATTTTATGACCTCACCTCAGAATTCATATAGTGTCACACCCACTATATTATTGGTGAAGGCTGTCACTATCTTCAGAGATTCTGGGAGAGAGCACTGACCTCAGTTCTTGAGAGAAATGTCAAAGGTCATATCAGTATTTCCAAAACTGCTGCATCCCTAAAAGGACTGATCAAGAAAGAAAAGAGAAAGTGCATGCTACCAGTAGGAAGAATGATATCTGTTTATTGTTCCTGATTCTATATAAAATATAGCAAGAGAATATTAAAAACTTATGCAAATGAGTTTGAAAATTTATGTGAAATCAGGAAATTACATACAAAAAATGTAACTGACAATTCTAGCAACAATGAAGAAAAATTAAAAGTCTTCTTCCAAAGCATTTTTGAGGACAATGGATGGCAGCAGCCTGATTTTTCTCAGACTTAAAAAAAGTGATCAAATAAACAATCAGAGGAAATAAAAATAGGTATCACTCATCTCTTCAGAATGACTGGAAGACAAAGAATACCTTAACTAGAGAAATAAATTCTAAAAGATTCCTTTTGACCTGCCACTGTTGCAAGTCTATGCATGCTAAGACTCAGGAGGTAAGGCTTAAAAGTAGAGGGTCATGGACAACTAAGCATCCTCAACAAGACAAAGTCTAATACTAAATGCCAGAATATTGAACATAGGTCAGGACGTCAGGGTTCACAGCACATGATGTATAGAAATGGTTAGAAAGACAGTGGGACCTGAAGAGGCAGTCTCAGAAAAGCATTGCTTCTGAGGGAGAATCAGATACAAAGAGAGGAATTAATTCCTCATGGAGATGTGGCAGTGAGGAAAAACAAGGAAATGAAAAATCCTGCAGGAATAAAAAGAGTAGCAAAATAATAGCCATTTTTTGCCCCTCCGCCAATAAAGCCACAAAAAATGAACTGATAAAATAATTTTATATCTATAAAAGAAATATTTTGAGAACATACCTGAAAAATACAAAACCTGCACTGTAACACAACATTCTCAACTGAATTGATGTGCCATCAAATAAACATTTGGGAGTATGGGGGGAGAAAACGCACTTTGAGAAATACAAAGAACAGTTATCATCAAGAAAACAAGAAAAATGAGAATTGATTGAAGTCAAGGAAAAAAAAAATAGGAAAGAAAGGCAAAATCCTACCAGGAATGTACAGAAAAATAAAGAAAATGAAATAAGGGAAAAAATTGTCAGAAAGTAGTTGAAATGGAAGATAATCAAAGGAGGTCTGACACATATAATTAGAACCCCTAAAGAAGATAATAAAAAATATAACCCAAGAAAACATTTTGGGTATAAAGGATGGCATGAGGGGCACTTCAGGATGATAGCAGACCGACTGCCCAGTGAAATGGTGAAAATTCTACAATAAGTCATTTAAAGTCTCTGGAGATGGTCCCAGGGACATGCAATGAATAAACACTTACTGTTTACCAAGATTTGTTAAGAACAATGAGAATCTATGGTATTTGAAACAACACATACTCCTTTCCTTCTACTTCCCAGTTTAGTCAGACAAAAACTCCACTCCAGACTGGTACATAAAACAAAACAAAACAAAACAGGCCTCCCTCCCTCCCTGGCTCCTCGTTGGATGGCTTTCTTCCACAGGTTCTCACTATCTTCATTTGAATAACTTCATCTTGATTATATAGTGACTGGGCTGTGTGGTTTTCAAGAAAGCAAATTAGGTTAGAAGTCTCTGGCAAAATAAAAATTTTACATATGTATGTGATGAAATGATGAATTTTACGTGGAAGAAAAGTGGCTGCATTATCACATAATGCTAAAGTTTTATTTCCATTTAATATAGTACATAGTATATTTAAATCTGCATTCTCCAGATAAATATTCTATTTTTAGGTTTGAGTCAAAGTAATACCTATCTCCTATTGTGAAGTTAACTTTAGAGACAAATGTTTAGGCAGGAACTAGGAGCCGTTAAGTTCTCTTTTTTAATGTCCTATATACTGCTTTAATAGGCTTTGCTGGTCCACATTTAAGAGCTTATGTTAAATTAAAAACCTATATAAACAAAAAATGAACATGATAAGCATGTGTGGGCCATGTACAGCAAATAGGGGAGGAGTAAAAATTGCATGTAGAGCTTTAGAATGTGTCCCAACTTGAGTTTTTATTAGCCAAAAATGGACTGTTACAAATGTAAGAAGTCTTATGTAAGTCTCATGGTAAGTCTAAAGCCAAACCTTATAGTAGATGACACAAACGAGAGAAAGGAATTTGAGCATACCAGGAGAGAAAATCTCAAATCATAAAGGAAGAGAACAAGAGAAGAGGGAAACAAAGGAACTATAAAATAGCCAGAAAACAATGAACAAGATGGGCAATAAGTGTGTACTTATCAGTACCTACTTTAAATGTGAATGAACTAAATTCTCCAATTAGAAGACACAGTGGCCGACAAGACCATCTAATATGCTGCCTATAAGAAACTCACCTCAGAAGAACACACACAGACTGAAAGTGAAGGGATGGAAAAGATGCACCTAGAGAAAGGTAGATAGACTAAGAGAAAAGGTCATGATGTAATGATAAAGGGGTCACTGAATAAGACGATAGTAGTACAAAAATAGTGCAGGACTTCAAAACTCACTTTTTTCAATGAATAGATCATCCAGACAGAAAATCAATAAGAAAACATTGGCTTTAAATGACATGTTAGCCCAAATGGACTTTACAGACATGTATGGAACATTTCATCCAAATTCAACAGAATACACATTCTTTTTAAGCAACACATGGAAACATTCTGTAGGATATGTCATCTCTAAGGCCACAAAACACATTTTTTTTCTTTTTTTAGTTTTTATTTAAATACCAGGTAGTCAATGCAGTATAATATTAGTTTCAGATGTATGATTTAATGATTCAACACTTCCACTCATCACCCAGTGCTCCTCACAAAAGGTGCACTCCTTAATCCCTGTCACCTATTTCACCCATCCCCCCTCTCCCCCACATCCCCTCTGGTAACCATCAGTTTGTTCTCTGTAGTTGAGAGTCTCTTGCTTCCTGTTCCTCTCAATAAATTTAAGAAGATTGAAATCATGAAGCATCTTTCTGGTCACAATAGGAAACTAAAAGCCATTACAAAAAGAAAACTGGAAAACTCAATTATGTGGAGATTGACAAAGTGGTTGCTCAGTAGTATATTGTTTAAAGAAGAAATCAAAAGATTAAAAAAAAAAATACCTTGAGGCAAATGGGAATACAACACACCAAAAAATAAGTAACTTTTGGGATGTGGCAATAGCAGTTCTGAAAGGGAAGTTCATAGTGATAAATGCCTACATCAAGAAATAAGAAAGCTGTCAAATAACCTAACTTTGCACCTCAAGGAATTAGAAGAAGAACAAATGAAGCTCAAAATTAATACAGGAAGGAAATAACAAGGACCAGGTGCAAATAAATAAAACAGTAAAAAGACAATTTGTAAATATAATCAAATTTTTGGAAAATGTAATCAAAATGGACAAACCTTTGGCTAGAATCACCCAAGAAAGAGAAATCACAAATAGAATTAGAAATGAAAGAAGAGATGTAAAAACTGATACTATAGAAATACAAAGGATCATAAGAGACTGCTATGAACAGTTGTATACCAACAATTTGGACAACCTAGAAGAAATAGATAAATTCCTAAAAGTGTAAAACCTAGCAAGACTGAATCATGAAGAAATAAAAAATCTGAACAAATTTAACTCATACACCATGATAAAGTAGGTTTTATTCTGGGGGATGCAAGGATGGTACACTATCTGCAAATCAATCAATGTGATATTACCACATTAACAAAATGAGGGATACATATCATCATATCATCTCAGTAGATGCCAAAAAAGCATTTGACAGCATTCAACATCCATTTATGATAAAAATTCTCAACAAAGTGGGTACTGAGGGAATGTATTTCAATTCATAAAGGCCATATATGACAAGCCCATAGCTAATATCATACTAAATGCTGGAAGTTTGAGGCTTTTCCTCTAAAATCAGGAATAAGATAAGAATACCTACTTTACCACCTTTATTTAGCATACTATTGGAAATGCAGGGTGGGTGGATCCATGGATGGCATCCAAATTAAAGGAAGAAGAAAACTGTCACTATTTGCTGATTACATGATATTATATGTAAAAATCCTTGAATTTAGTAAAGTTGTAGGATACAAAATCAATATACAAATATCAGAGATATTAAGAAAACATTCCCATTTATAACTGTATTAAAGAGGCTAAAACACTTTGGAATACATTTAAGGCGATGAGATAACCTGTACACTTAAAACTGATGAAAGAAATTGAAAAGACACAAATGGAAAGATATTTGGTGTTTGTGGATTGGAATAATTACTACCCAAAGCAATGTACAGATTCAGTGCAATCTCTTAAATTTCAATGGTATCTTTCATAAAAATAACCAACCCGAAAATTTGTATGGTGCCAAAAAAAAGACCCCAAAAGCCAAAGCAAAATCATGAGAAAGAACCTGGTG